TTTTTATCAGCAATAATTTTGTTAATTTACCTTAGTTATATTTAAATATGTAACAAGAAATATCTTTGTGAAATCTTTTTTCTTGTATTGAAATTTCCTTTCCTTTTCTCTTTCGTATTTTGTCTTAGTTCAATTAAATGTTTCTTACATATCCAGCCTTTCAACCGAGAAAGACATCATAAAACTTGTCACAAAATAACAAACAAAGTGATTTATCCGTATACAAGTAATAATTATTATTAAAAGAAATCGAACGAAATAACTTACCTTTGACTCTTTAAAAGCAATGCGGTCTACAGATCATGTTAATGTAGAGCACTGACTCTATGTAATAATGGAAACTTGTTCCAACAGACATACTTCATCTTTCTCCCTTTGGACCATATATCTCAAATTCAATCTAGTTTAGCTGTATGACGACTGTCTCTATCGCACCCAGCCTCCCCTACTATTCTTACAGAAAAAAATGACAACAAACGACAACTTAATACATATATACTATCACACGAATAAAATAGAAATACTAATTTTAAGCGTCAAACCTGATGCGTCTTGGTATCTCTCAGGAATTAAAAATTTCCCATAGTATAATGTTTAAACCAATTCCCTTGTGTTAATTATTGAAACCTGCAATTTCATGAAACAAACTTATAAATTGATTCATATAAAAACAGATACAAAGTCATATGAATTCTGAACTTTGTTCATTTTGTTGAAGCATTATTGTACTACTTAATGCAAAAAGCTGATGATGGTTTTAATGTTAGGTTTATAAAGCAAGAAGTCGAATGATACGTGTCAAAAGATATTTATTGACATGTATTAAGTCTGTTACTACATTGAGGATACTTTTAAATAAAACCATTATAACATAAATAAAAAATGCGATATAAAATATGCGCAGCCTTTCCTCTTCAATGTCGAGTGATCTATATACGATCTATAACCCAGTCTATTTTAAAACTTTAAATTGAAATTTGCATATATTTCGGAAGTCGATATATGAAAATATACTTTGAAATACCATGTGTAATATTTCATATTCCTTCATTTTCAATATACATAACCTACGACGAAAACGGTGTTTATCTTAACGGTTTTGTTTGTTATTATTTACCGCATGAAAATATTTTTGGCAAGAAATCTAAGAGTGTTTCCCATTAGACACGTGTATTTTCCACTAGCATCTTGAGTTTATTTTTTAATATACATCATAAAAATAGATTAAAGAATAGATTTATTGAAAAATCCATTATAGTAAAAAATACATTATGGCTGTCTGTAAAAAGATTTTTTAAATATATAAACTGTATGTATATACTGTATAAACTGTATATATGAACACGTTCACACGTACCTCATGAAGATAATGAACAATAAAATAATGAATTTATAACTTTTATATAAAAATAACAAGAAACTCTTCTATTTAAAGACCTTTGTTTATTTATTTATTTATTGAAGTAAAACTTCTTTAGATGCGACTAGAGTGTAAAACCGTACAGATGCAACGGAATTGCGTTACGGCCGAGTCGACTGCCAATGGTTCGTCATTCGCTCTCGATGATATCATTTTTATACGGGTCGATTGTGATTGATCGTCGTATTATAAGCGAGGCTTCTTTGTATGCAAGACTTTGTACGTGCGTACGTCACCGAAAGCGTGAAGCATATTGTTCATTTTTCGGTGTTTCATGTCATTACATTTTAAGGTTAAATAGTAGTACAAATCTTGAGTTAATAAAAAATGTCTGGATTTGAAGAATATTTTATTTCGTTCCCCATAAATAATTATAGTGCAAATAATAAAACACATGAAAAATCTGTGCCGTGTAAGAAACGTAAGTTTATTGAAGTAATTTGTATTATTCAAACATTGCCATTTTCCTTTTTTCCCTTTTTCCCCGTATCTTCGAAACGGCTAGACCTGCATTTGCCAAAAACTAATCAGCCCGTCTTCCCATCAATAGAAATTGAATGTTTTATTTAATCATTCAAATCGGTTGATCTTGAAATCGTAGACAAAAATTTGTATCCAAACATACACGCATACACATATATTCATTGTTTCTAACTTTTTTTGTAAGATATAATAATATTCAGGTTGTATAAAATATTCAGAAACGTTCGAAACGTAAAAATATGCAAAAATTTTCTTTTTCGTTTTTTTGCGATTACTATAACTTACCCTACGGGAAGTTAATAAAGATGAAATATTAAAGCTATTTTTTATGTGCTTTTAGATAATTGTAAAAATTGGAATAAAATAAATTTTTAAAGCATATAAATGGCTAAGTTGTTAATATAAGGGCAAATAAATACATACAAAAAAAAATCTGCTAACCAAATGAATATTACTGAATAGCCGAGCTAATTTCTCTTTATATTATTACTCGACCTATATTATTACCAGCCCTCTTATGATAATTAACATCGTGAGATTTCTCTTCATAACAACACTTGTTTCTGAAGGACTTTTGTATAAATAAATAATAAATATCCTTCGATGTATTTTCAGAAAGACCGTAATAGATTCGTTCAAAGTACATATTTTAAAAAAATATCTTCATAGAATAGATATAAATGTTTAATGAAGCCGTATATACATGCAACTGGACGAAGCTAAGGGAATATTTTATGCATTCAGAAATAATTAGGAGTCATACTATTCTCAACTCAATTATATATATATATATATATATATATATATATATATATATATATAAATTTATTTGAATCAATACAAAAAATGTGGTTTCTTAGCTATATACGTATATGACTATAAAATAGTACATATATGTATATGTACTATTCTATGGTTGAATTAAATATAAGTGTATCGATTTACTAGATATTGATATACGACAAATATTTTCCTGAAAAATTATGTAGTATGTTATTTAAAACTTATTTACTCATATTTGATAAGCTTTTTTAAATTATTCACTATTAATTTTCCGAAGGATAAATTACAATCGGATTTTCGCCAGAATATAAAAGCCATTTGATGAAACTCGATAGCAATACGATCAGAATGGAATTCGCGAAAAACTCCAGAACGGAGTATGAAATTTAAAAACCATGTGAAAGATATTATTTGGAATCGATACAAATAACATGTGTTTTGAATCATTCAAATTGGACGCTCCGTTCTCTCAAAAACAAGTGCTATCTTTTGCACTTTTTTCCCCGTATCTTCGAAACGGCTGGACTTGCTTTTGCCAAAAACTCAGTCTCTCCATCAGTAACGAAACGAATGTTTTTTGGACCCGTGTTCCCGAACTCGTCGACGAAAATTTGTATCCGCACAGACACACATACTTAAATACACATATATATTCATATTTTCTAATGTATGCCAAAATGTTCAGAAACCTTTATGCAAAAATTTCCATTTTATTGAAGTTTTGATGAAACTTTATGATGGTCTTAATGAACATCCTAAAATATTATGGGCCTACAAAAAGCGATTTAATTATAAAAATTCACCGAAGCTTAGAATGCCACTTACGCCTAGTTTTACAACATTTTCGGCGCTTTATGTATGCGGTATGTCCTTCTTCAGGAACTTAGATTGACTTCAAATACTCTTATGTTTAAACTTTAAAACACCACGAATCACAAACATATTAAAATAAACACAATTAACAAAGCGTTTTAGATGTTTACGTTTCTGGGAATATCAAACTACTCACAACCAGTAGTAACTACTTAAAACCATGTAAATCTCATAAATATTAAAAATTCTTAGGAGTGGAAAACGGAATGTTTCGAGTTTAGAAAAAGAAAATCTTAATAATAATAGAGATCTAGAATATGTGTGGGTCTAATCATATACTGGAACAACTTTGTCAGAAAATATTTTAATCTGAAAAGACAACCATGCAATAAATTAATATGTTATACAAGTTTATCAATTATTGCTTCATTATCTGTTAATTTGCAAAATCGGTATAAAACATTAATAACAATTACTAATTAATTGCGAAAAAAGGGTGCTTTCAAAACATATTTTCACAATTCATTAACTCTGAAATTACTGGACTTGAAATTCTTTTGATTAATTACTTAAAAGGTTGTGTAAGATGATTATCAGAGAAGAAATAAGAGATTATGAAGAATAATGAAAGGGTTCATTTTTATAATTCTTGCAAATAATTGCCCATGAAATTTATCTTTAGCATTGGTTGTATAATGTAGCATTCGTAAAATTCCTTTGAAATTAAAAATAAGACATTGGATCTGCTTGCCCCCTGACTATCCCATTTCACCCTGTTGCACATTTAGCTCCGTGTCTTCAAAATGGCTGGACCTGCCTTTGCAAAAATCACCACTTCTTCCGATCATTACAAATTTAATGTTTTTTAGATCATTCAAATCGGATACTTCGTTCTCTCAAAAATTCGATTTCTATTTTTTGCACTCTGCTCCGTATCTCCATAACGGCTGGACCTGCCTTTGCCAAAAACTAATCAGCACATCTCCCTATCAATAGGCATCGAATGTTTTTTGAACCATTCAAATCGGTTGATCCGTGCGCTCGAAAACGTAGACGAAAAATTGCGAACACATAAAACACACACACATACACACATCAATTTTTTCTGAGGTATGCCAAAATATTCAGGAACCTCTGAAACGTGAAAATATTTTCGATTTTTGGCCCATTACTATAACTTACCCTAAGGGAAGTTAATAAAAAAACACATCTATAATAAGAAATTAATTGACTGGGAATTTTACTGAACACAGTTCGATAATTGTTTGATTCGTGTTATGTGTTGAGATATATTTGGTTTAGACAGTAAAATTACTTCAAGTCAAATTGGACCTTTGTGCCCCGTCCTACTAGAGTACAAATAACAGAATTATATTGAGATATTTGAGTATGAAATTCTAAGCACATACAACGTTAAGTAATTAAGAATAATAATTAACAATTAAATATAAATTGTCAGAATCTTTTACATTAAATTATATTATTTTATTTTTCATTGCAGGGCTCTGAAAATATTCATGTATCGCGATTTTGCAAAGAAGCTGAAGAGGGCAAATATATTTCTTACATTGATGAAGATACAAGGACGCTGTATGACACCTTCAGAAAAGGGGCCAAAGTATCAAGTTAGTATAATGACGATTTATTAAATTTATTTGGGATAGATAATATTGAAATTATTATCATTACTATAAATATTAACATTCATATTTTATATTGCGACGACATATTATCGCACAAAAAACGAAATGTAAACATATGTATAGTCCAGTCATTTAAGCTTAAATTTAGGTAAGAATCTCGGAATTCGAGATACCCAGCTGTAAGTTTGCAAATATTTGTATATTGACACCCTGAAGTTGTACACATGGTAGGGTGTCAATACCATATGTAGGTTTTGAGACAACTTTAGAGTGTCAATAACAAGTATTTACAGACTTACAGCTGGGTATCTCGAATTCTGAGGTGAACTTACTACTAATAAACAAAACCTAATGGAGAAAAGTTAGAATGAAGGCATCCGCAGTCCCAATTTTGTATATTTTTGAAAATATGGTAATACTTAAGTTCATATTCAATATCATTAAAAATCCATCACGTGATTAATGGACGCCTCCTTGGTTAAACGTAGCGATTCGATATATTTTTACTAGAGTTTTTATAGAGTTGCATGTTTGTACTCATAATTTTATAATCAAAAGATATATCTACTTGATTTAAATTTAGCTCTTGTTAGCAAAGTAACAAGTTTATTATCTTCTAAGATCAACGAGCATAAAATCCACTAATTTTCATATTTTTCAGCTTGTTTGGGTAGCAGAAAAATTATTTTTAACACGTTAATTGCCATGTCAGTCATATTAGACATATATGACTGGCAAATTGACTTGAAAATTTCTTGACTTGTAGAAAAAATGTTTTGATATAGGGCCATGTTAGTCATTTAGGTGTGACATAAAAAGCAGTGTTTTTCCAGGAATTTTGGCAAACTTTGGCTTTGACACATTAAAATTTCTTTGATACATTTTTAACTAAATCATCTAATAAAGTTACCATGATCCAAGTAAAACATTTCTGATATTATCGTGGCTATTAACGTGTTAAAATGGATGAAAATTGTACGGGTAGTAATAATAAATCCAAAATCTTTACGCTGCTTCGATACAACCGATGTTATTATACATTCTGGTGAAACTTGGAAATTTTAAAGATTCAAAAATTAAAATTGATTTCTCATTCCTTCCGAAATTTAAAACAGATGGTTATTTTCTTTGCGAAAACATAACTGTTATTTCTAGTTAATATCCCTCGGTGAATTGTCTGATTTAGTATTACTCGTCTACTCGATCAAAATAGAGTTGATCATTTATTTTCAATTATATATTATTTTCAGATAATGGCCCATGCTTGGGATGGAGAGAAACGACCACATCACCGTACACATGGTTAAATTACAATGAAACTTTACTCCGAGCCAGGAATTTTGGCAGTGGACTGGTCGGATTGGGATTGAACCCAGGACCAGAAACATTGATTGGAGTGTATGCCCAAAATTGTCCAGAATGGATATTGACGGAACAAGGCGCCTATTGCTACGGCATGGTGATTGTGCCATTGTATGACACATTAGGACCCGAGGCTTGCGCTTTTATCATAAAACAAGGTAAGAAATAGTTTTGTTAAATGGAATTTATCTAATAAGTTTCAGAATTGAAATTCTCCATCCGAGTGCAAATTATTACATCATCGGTATTACCTTCAGACATAAATTTGGTGATGGGTCAAATGATCTGATTTTTCTTTGCTCACTTTGATTCATATTTCATATAGGAACCTTATTCCTATCGGCACCCTAAAATATTCTAATGACTTAAAACCTATATACAGTAGAAGTTCTTTAGTTCGGTACCCACCAGTACGGAAATCCCGATAGTCCGGCATTTTTTCCGTAAATTTCGTTTTTTTTTTAAAAAAAATGTGCCTTTACAGCGAATAAAAATGATCGAGGGCTTTTAGAACATTTTCAGGGTGGTTCGGAATCATTCGGAAGAACTCGCTATTGTTCAGTAATTATTCTGTCCATGGTAAATTTCGTTTTGTCCATGTTCATGAACGAAGTATGTTGTACGAAATACGTAGCCTGCTTCAAAAATTTAAATATATAATTTAAAAGAACGTAAATTTGCTTTGTTGTATTTTCTATTGATTTTGTAGTTTAATTATTACCCTAATTGTCTGACCCGATAATCCGATAAAGAGGTCAGTCCCGGAGCAAGACGAACTAAAGGAGTTCTACTGTAATAGAAAATGTATCTATGATTTGTATTTTTGGGGAAAAAAAGACACTTGTAATACAAATAAATTGTACCAGATGCATTTTTTCTACTAAATTGGTATTTATTGATTTTATTCCTAAAATTTCATATTTCTGCCCCAATATTTAAGAAGCTTAAATTCTCTACACAACAGCATTAGCATACTGCGCAAATATATAAAAATAAAAACATTTTTATTGCTATTGAAATAACAATAACAGTTTTTTATTTGAATAACCAGTAAAGCTCCTAGTTGCTGATGATGAATAAATATTGTACAATTAAATTTTGCGCCAGTTTGCTCATTATTTCTTATTTGTATTTATATTTACACTTTGAACTTGATGATGAAGGCGTTTTATAGCTGGTAAACAAGTTATAATTATATCTTTCATGTTGTTACTTTAAAACGATTTCCATTCCGAGCAGATAGAATGTAATAAAAACTATTGTATTATTAAAAATTAAAAATAGTATAGGGTAGAGCGGTGTTTAAAGGGCGGCGGGTAAAAAGGTCTACCTCCATTATCTCAAACATAAGTATAGAATGATTTAATAATACTATTTTAAAGTAGAAGGCAACAGAAGTGTAACCAATCGCTATCAGGAGATAAAGGGTTATGTATCAATATTTATAACAAAAGTTTTTTTTCGTTGGTAGTTTTTTTTTGGCTTTGAGGAGGTTTTTTTATTCAGTTTACTATATATAATTCTAATTTTTCTGTATACGTTATTTAATTGTTTTACAATATGTATTGTTGTTTTTCAGTTAGATGCAACAGTTTTTTATATAATATAAAATCTTACATGTGGGTGGAGTAAACAGTACTAACTGAACCATTACCCTGGCAAAAAAGTAAACAATCAAATAGTATATAAAAAAACAATTTTACAAGAGATAAATTAATAGTTGTTTCATCTCGGCTCAAATATTTCTGACGAAATACCAGGTCAAGGTTATATGCAGTTTGATCTTTGTGAAAAATGTGTCCATGAAATTTTATTTTGGTTTAATATTGTATCTTTTATTTAGTTTTTCTCCAACGTTTAAAATTACACATTAGATCTATTTGCCTCCTGGCTATCCCTTTTGACCCTGCCTATGGGGTAGATGATAAATTTTAGAAAAATATTGAAAAAACATTTCTGTAATTAAGAATTAACTAGAAACTTTACTGAATATAGTTAGATAGTTATTTGTTTGATACGTGTTTTGTGTTGTTTTCATAGATAAAAAACAAGTATAAATATAGTTGTTTTATTTGGTTTAGACCAGTTGTCGGAAATCCGGGGTAAACTACTCCAAATGGGGTAAAAAACAATATTTGAGAGTAAAAAGTATGTATTTTTAATTGATATTTACAGTATTTGGTAATATCAACTTAGACAAAAAAAAATTGCGGTCATAATGAAAAATGTTCCCAGACTGCTGGTTTAGACAGTATAGTTACTGAAAGTCAAATTGGAACTTTGTGCCTTGCTCTGCTCTATATAGTGTGCAATATGTAGGTGAAGGATTAGCTATCACAAAAAAGGAGAATTGCATAAAAAAGTAATATAATTATATTTGTAATAAAAATATATTAAAATGCAATTGGTATCGGTATAATAAATTGTGCAATCAATAAGATTATCATTATCTACACTTATATGTCAGATTTTTCAAATTCACGGCTTATCGCGTTTTGCCAGTAATTCAACACCATGCAAAATATTGATTGTAACCAGATACGACCGCACGAGCTTTTGTTAAGTTAACAAAAGCTATAGTGCAGGTGTTCATTAATGATCTCCGATGCCAGTATAAGTTACGGCAAAACAAAATTTATTGCAAGTTTATCAGTTGTTGGTTCATTATCTGTTAATTTACAAAATCGGTATCAATTATATTTTTAGAAAATTATTTAATGGCCATACGGGTTGCCGCAATGCGTAGGAACAATTTACAAATAATCTTTATGCGGGTTGTTGTTTATTTGGTTTAGACCATTTCATTTTCTACCTTGCAATGGGAATTTACCATTTGCAAATTAAACGAACACATGCAATCAATTTCTAGAGATCAATCGTACAATTGTTTCTATCTAAATACTTCATATATTTAACTTCCCGTAGGGTAAGTTATAGTAATCGCAAAAAAATCGAGAATTAAAATTTTTGCATATCTTAACGTTTCAAAGGTTTCTGAACATTTTGGCATACCTTAGAAAAAATGGATGTGTGTGTGTATGTTTGGATACAATTTTTCGTCGACAATTCGGGCGCACGATTGCGATCAAAAATAATCATTAGACATATGCACATCAAATTATCAGATATCTTATAGAGATTTTAAACATGTGGACTAATTTTCTTACATTTTTTTTGGGTTCCGTACCAAGATTTTTAATAACTAATTTTTAGTAATTAACCATTGATCAATATCTATTGATTATTAATTTTTTTTTGCTCTATAATAATATTCAATTCAGGTACGGGAAAGTTCCAGCAATTTGCCTTAAGGCACGATGCCATGCACCACTAGTTTGTTATTCATAATGAATTCATTACAGCATTTAAGCGTATTAAGTATTTGTTATTACGTGACCGTAACTACGCTCTTGTGTCGAATCGTTTTATTTCCATATAAATACATCGAAATACCATTAATTCGTTTCAGCACTGTTATTTTTATAGGTTTTTTTAAATTAAAAATAAATTTAATTGTTATTAATATAATTATTGTTTTTTCTGTGCATTCATGATATAGCAGAAATGAGTTAGCGTGTTTCGTTGAACCCCCAACTGCAACTTTTTCAGGGTGAATAATAGTAGCCGGATTAAGTTTTATTATCTCTATACCTACAAGAAGATGAAAATACTTAAAGAATTAGAAATTGAGTACAGTTCAGTATAATAGACATTGTTTACAAAATGTATATTAGTATCGATAAATTCCACATTTTTATGCATTTATTACGTATCAAGTACTGTTTTAAGTTCAAGTTGAGTTTGTCTTATATATACTTAATAGAATTTTCTATATTGCAGCTGAAATATCGGTCGTGATTTGCGAAGATGATCGGAAAGCTGGTTTATTACTGGACAGATCTCCTCGATGTCTCAAACGACTGGTCACAATCAAAGATGTTCGCCCGGCCACTACCCAAAGAGCCAAAAATTTAGGTAAGTGAACGTAAAATTATAATTTAATAATCGTTGATTAAATCACAGCTAAAGTCGGTGTTATTATTATTAGTGCTCTGATCGAAGGTGATTTAGCACATCTCATTTTTTTTCTATTCTAGAAGCTATTTTTTATATTTCTGCTTCCATTTTCCATGTGCTTTATCTTGGACTAACACCATATATTTTATTTCCTTGTGCTTGTTCCGACTGTCTGTATTTTCCATTCTCTTCTTATATTTAATTACTTTGTCAGTTGCTACAATATTAGCGTATTTGATATTCTCCACTTTTCTCCAAGACCATATATCGATTTTGGTGTTCTGCTATTGGTCAGAAGGTTTTGTATTTTTACAGTCATTTGTTGTCCTATAGTTTTACTTGTTTATTTCAGGATATATAGCCAAAAGGCTAACCTGAGCCGCGTTTGAAATGATGCTTGTTATCAATTTCCAACTAATATACAATCATATTATTTTACAGGCATGGAAATATTGCGATTTGAAGATGTTGAAAAAACTGGAGCAGTATTAGGACATAAAGAACAACCGCCTAAACCGAGTGATT